TTAAGTTAAAATAAATGTTAGAACTATACAAATATGCATTACGAAAACAAATTTTTTTTACTGTTTTTACATTTCTTACATTTTCACATTCAATAAATTTAATAGACCTATTTTAATACAATATGTCTACTAAATTTATTACTCTTAAGCTATTTATTCTACATATGATGGTTTATCATAATTTAATAAACTACCGTACGTAGAATAAAGCTTAAAAGTAGTGGTATTAAACTGTGCGAAGCCCTAGGCAAGCGTACTTGCAATATTCATGTAAATTTATATAAGGCAGGGGAGATCGCTATGGCCCACAAGTTTGGATTATTATTTGACCAATTTAATTTTTTCCTAAGAAATGACTAAGGTAGACTCTAAGTAATAGTTTAGTTAGCCTATATCTTGGGGGAAAATAATTGAAATTGTTCAAAATAATAAACCAAATTTGGTGGGCCATAGTGGGCTCCCGTACCTTAATTTAAAGCATGCAACACATGAAACTTGACTGATTTCTATCGGAATCCTAATACTAGGCCAAGAAGGATACGCTTGTGCGTGTTTGAAACCAGTAAAAACTGAGACTCTAGGCAATAGCCTAGGTTGAAAGTTGCATACGCTTTAAAATCATTTTAATAGAGATATCCTACTTGTAGATTCATAATATAAGTAAAAGAAGATAGTCTTATTTACTATAAATACATACATGCGAATGCATATAAACGAATAAGGAGTATATAGAGTATATATATTTTTAAAATATATTTTCTCCCTGTATAAACTTTAATTACTATTTTCAATTTTATACAATTTTATAAAAATCCAAAAATTACATAAAGTATTTTACTAGCAAATTATATATTTTCATTATTAAAAGAGAAAATAATACGGTTTTCAAATAAATTTACTTTCAAGTTTGCTTTGGGATCAATTGTGATAAATTTCTCCATTTGTCTACCATGTATTTCTCTAAATGATAATCTAATCTCCGTCGTCCATCATCTAGAAAAAGTAGATTAATTGATAATAAATATGTCGTTTAATCTGTCATAGACGAAAGCTCAATAACTTTTTTCATTTTTCGACAGTATAATTGTCTTTTTTTTGTTCATTTTTNTTCTACTGTAAATAATAAAATAATATCTCTCAACTTTTATTATGTTAATTATAATAATAATTGATATTTTCAGATGTTAATAATAATAATAATAATCATCAAATATTTAATTTTATCTGATACAGTATTAGTATTTTTCTTAAAATTCTTGGCATCACAAGAAGCATTTTCAAGCCTTTTATACTCTATATAAAAATATGCTACACTATTTGGGCTACGATTTGAAAACATTGTAGACCTATAAATTCCTATTGCCATCCATCTATCTGTCCTTCCTTAATTTTGAGAATGGAGTTAGATGAAAGATGAGACCAGATATGGAAAGCTTCGGAGCAGGAAGCCCCAATTAACTATATACAAACTTATAGTTTGCACTGGAAGTTGTGTTGTTATTTTAATTCAAAAATATTCCTCTGAATGTAGTTAGCAATAGTCATGCCAGTTACCTAACAGGAAAAGTATGATATACAGGGTCAAGACACTATTAAAATGTTAAGAACATTGTGAAGAAAAATTGTAGCCTAGCATTGTGATGATGTCATGATAAATAATTGCTTATTTTCATTTAAGAAAATGACATTGTTTTTACAAAATTCTTAAATCAAAAACTCTTTTAAATTGGATTTTAAAAAATGAATTTTAGAAACAATAAATTTGATAGCATTTTAATAGCTAATATTTATTTCATTCATTTTGTTAGAGTATGTATTATTTAGAATTTCATATTTATATCAATTAATAATTTTGAAAAAACAAAAAAATACAACAGAAACAAATTGTTAAATGTAATGTTTTTGAATAAAATTGAAATTACATTTGTAAATACAGTACCTCGGTTTTCGTTGACTTCGGTTATCGTCAGTTTCAGTTTTAGTTGATTTTTTTCCATGAAAAATTTGTCTCGGATTTCGTCAGCATGCCCACGGGATTTCTCTGTTAAATTTTGCGAAAACAAAGGATGACCCATGTGTTTTCTGCTCAGTGTGGCATTGTTTCTCATTGTGTGAGCATTACCCCACACATCTAGCCAAACTATTCCATTGCATTTATTTCCTTTTAGCTCCATCATGTTTATTTATTCTTTACATTAGTCTTTTATATTAATTTTTTAAAATTGTTTTTAATATTAAACTCTATATTTATTCTCTATAAAATGTGTTTTTGGTATGTATTTTGGAATGTCTAGAACAAATTAATTGGATTTACATTGATTTGTATGTAAATTACCTTCGGTTTTGTTGGTTTCGGATTTCGGCAATTTTTTTTTTTGGATGGATTATCGACAAAAACTGAGATATCACTGTAGAAAGAAGAGGGGAAAAGCTTATCACCAAAATGCTCAGCAATTTTTTTTACATAAATAATTTAGTTGAAAACTATATAAAAACATGCTAATAAATTAAAATTACTACTACTTTTAATGTTGAGAACATTCAAAATAAATCTAACAAAATATACTCTGAAACAAAGCACTAATACTTCTGTTGTTATTATCTGGTATTTCTGTAAATAAATAACAGATCAATTTTATATAGACTTGTTTAAAATAACTAATTACTCTATAAAAAAATTTTATGATAATGCAGAAAATATTGTAAATTCATGCACAGTTGTTTTTATTGAACATGCATATGTGTGTATGCAAATATAGTCATTATGACAAGTTGTGATACTTTTTAATGTTCCTTGTTGTGAAACCTTAAATCCTTTTTGTTTTAAAATATATTGTGTGTTTTCAAATGTTGTTGATGTTTGGCACGTTATCATTCATTTGATCTGCATGAATTTGATTCTTGTGTTTGGATTCATACTGCACTAATCCAGATAGTGTGCTTTTGCTATGTGGCACATGGGCATCCTTCTCACAAGAGACTAACTCTGCCAGGTCTCTGATAACAGTTGAAAGAAACTCTGTTGGGACATACCATTTTTCAAATTTTGAAACAACAAAGATTTATGGATTCACAACATGTGCAAATTAGGGTTTCTCATTTCCCGGTCTTTTGCTTGTCCCAGGATTCTGAGAAAAAAGTGAACTGTTTCCTGGGATCCTGGGATATAATTATTTTTAAGATATAAAATAAATCTTTAAAATCGAATGATATAATTATTTTTCATTTTTAAGTAACTTAATACAACCTGTAACCTCCCAAAATAATAATAATAATGCTGTGTAAAATATGTTTAAAAAATTACATTTGAATTATATAGAAATTTTCACAAATAGAAAAAGTTCAATAAAGTTTGTTGGAAACTGCTTACAACAAAAATGCCTTTTGAATTGAGTTGAAAATTTAAAGAAAAAATGAAATTAGATCAAACTTCTAACTTAAAATGTAATTTTCACTATTTAAATAAAACATTATAAAATATACAATAATATTTTGTATTAAGATTTTAAAAAGCAAAGATGATCAATACTCCAATTATTCAATCTGAACTTATTTTAGTAATGTGAAAAGTCCTGCTACCAAGAATGTCCTTTTCGATTCAATTCGTGTGGGTGGAATCGTCCTTAATGCATTTAAGAGAAGTTGGATGTTGTGTTTTTTTTCACCTGTAGCCTGGAAGATTTCTAGTTCGTTTTCAAGATGTGTTAGTATTTCTTTTACCATCTAGTATTCGTCCTTTATCTACCTTGGCTGCCTTAATAGCGGCATCGAGCTTATAGCCCGATGAATTTGGCAGTTCGTTTGGCTTTAATAATTAGATTTATGAAGAAAAATTTCATACTTGCATACTTTATACTCGTTTGTAACCTTGCCCAATTTGCACAACCTGGCATAATGCAGTTGTTGAAGCTACTGGGCATGATTAAAAATTAAGACACTATAAGCACAATTATTCCAGATATTACAGGTTCTGACAAGTAAAGAATTTTCAAAGTCCTGTCACAAATAGGCTACATATTGATTATTGACAATCTGTGACGTGCTAAATAAGCAAAAATTTAAAAAACTAATAAGCAGGCCTAAAATTAATAAATACAAGTGTATTCTGACAGTTTATGGGTTAATTATACTTTCTATTTGCAAAATTTCAACTTTAATACAAAATAAGAAAAAAGTGAATTTTTAAGAAATTTGCGGAATTTCCTGGGTTAAAAAACAGCCGGGATCCTGTTGGAGAAGCCCTAGTGCAAATTATGTTGTTTTTTCATCTTGGATGTTCAATAACTCAAACTATCAATTTTTTAATTTTTAATGTCTATGAAGACTCTTGATCAGACTACTAAAACTACAAAATATTAAAAGTTCAGCTAAATCTATTGAGACCCATTTTCCCAAAAGATTTGTGCAGGGTCCTTTACCCTAAACTGTAAGAATTGTAAGAATATTACTAGTCTTTTAATGTGTTTGCACAAAACAGTTGTTCAGAAATGTGTGATGTTTATTTGTGAATTATTATTTTTTAAATGCAACTAAAGTTTACATTTTATATAACAAAAAGTGTCAACTTTTTAGCTTTGCATGGCACCAAATTTAATAATGTAAGTGAAATAAAATTTATCAAAAATAGACATTTAAAAAATAGTCCCTTTTTATAATGACCATTTATGAAATCTCTGCAATTTAAAGTTTTATTTCTTACTAGTGCACAAAAATTCATGGACTTGCTCAGATCATGCGACACTATTACTAGAAATGACTTTTACAAAAGTAAAAGTTTGATTTTAAATTACAAAAATTTCTAGGAAAAATATGTAATTCTCAAAAATTTGAGTTTGAGTAACTATTCTACAAATGATTATTATATGAAAATATACTATTTTATGGTAATATCAATTTTAAATGAAATGTATTTATTTATAATCAATATTTATTTCATTTCTTCAGTTTTTATGATTTTAACTGATATTATTTAATATATCTTTATTCATTTTTTCATATAGATTTTCTTTTTAAATTTCTGGTTATTGGAAGTGCTGGAACTGGAAAGTCATGTTTGTTGCATCAGTTTATTGAAAATAAATGTGAGTAAAACAATTTTATAAAAGTTAATTTCATACTTAATTAAAATTAAATAATGTAGGTTAAAATTAATTTTGAATTATAAGAGAAAATCAAAAATAAAGACAATTTTTATGTAAAATTAACTCATAAGGAAAGGTAACTAAATGACTACCAACTTTTGAATACAAGCACTCCCCTATGAATAGGACAAAACCTTGGAAACTTAACCTATTCATAGGTTAAGTTTTCAAGGTTTTGTCATAAGTACTTTCTACATTAGTTTTCAACTTAACAGTCAAAAATCCTTGATTCTAAGCATCCTTGAAGAAAAAGGAACCAATTTTAAGTTATTGGATTTATATGCTCTGGCACAAGTATGTTTGTAATATTGAGTAGTGTAGTGGTCATATTTCAGCTTATGAATCTAGCCCATAGCTGTTATGGGTTTAAATCTAAATTATTTTAAGAATGTTCTTTTTAAATGACATTTTCATGTGTTTTTTTTTATTTTTGAGGGAAAGGTAAGTACATTTTTTCCATTATTCCACTGAATGATCTATTTTCATATTTTTTTTTACTACTTTACTGAAATAAGTTTTATTTTTCTACCTGCAACTGGATTTATTAACATCAACACACACAATTTTTCACATTTGATATTTGACAACCTTTAACCTGAAGATGATGATCTAAAAATCATCAAACGTGCTGGATATTTCTGGTATATTTACATGCATTGGACTTAATCCAGTTTTACTGAGTACAGGTTTATTAACAATTCTTTGAAAATGGAGAATCATTATTTATAAAAGTTGTTGAAATGAAGTATTTGTGATTAACTCTCAGTCAAAATGGAAAACTGAAGGAATACTAATATATCTGATTTTCCATTTAGAAGTCAGTGTAAGTTTTAACACAGTGCAACATCTCCAACTCAATAGAATGTTTTAATTCCCTTTAATTTGATCATTGTTTATATTTTGCAAAGTTTGCAATAGCATAAAGTATAATAAAAGTATGCTATGGGAAGAATGAGTGAGCAATTAAAATAGAGAACAGTAGAATGAAAATACATGAGTAAATTAGTAAAACATGTAAAAATAAATAATTTGATGATGGAAAAATGCAACTTGCTGTTTTCTCAAAAATAAAAATTAAAAAATAATAATAATTTTAAAAAATTGTTAAAAAAAGAAAATATATTTTGAACCTAGAACAGTCATAGGATATAGGTGAAAGTTGCTCTGTGCTAAATCAGGACTATAAGCTGGGTGTTTAAACAGTTCCAAGCTGGATGGAAGTCTTCACACCTTTTATGTGTGAAGACTACTAACTCTTTCCTGAACTTGAAATCGTGGCAGAGGTTCAAGATATTCAAAACAACATTAAGGCCCATCTTAAGTCACTGGCGGCAACATTCTATGAAGAGGATTGCAAAGTTCATCTTTATATGACAAATTCCTTAATCTTCACGACGATTATGTTGAAAAGTAACCATGTTTGTACCTAACTTTTAGTAATAAATTCATTTTGTTATTTACACTTGTCTTTGTTTTATGGACCATCGAAGGTTGAGAAAAAACCACCCTCATATTTCTGTCACTTTTCCCTCATCTCATTGTATCATTTTGATGATTTTATTAGATTATTTGTAAATAAAAAATATTTAACAAGTTAACTTAGGTCAGTTTCATTAGTCTATTACAGTAACATTGTAAGTACTTGGATGAAAATTCAACAAAAGTTGTACAGCACTTTTTGAAGAAATATTACATTTTTGATTCTTTAAATGGTATTGACTGTGATTGCATGTGTAAAGATGTGAACATCAAGTCCAATGTTGATTTACTATGGTGTTAGTTTACTAAAGTGAAAGTTTTATTTATTCTTGAAGTAAAATATATTTATTTCCTTATAGTTAAAGCAGAGTCTAACCATACAATTGGAGTAGAATTTGGGTCCAAAGTAGTGAATGTTGGAGGCCGTTCAGTGAAATTACAGATATGGGATACAGCAGGGCAGGAAAGATTTAGGTACGTTACCTTGTTCTGAACTCTAAATTTTTGTTAATTCTAATGAAAATAATCTGATATTTAATACAATACAAACTTTTATATTAAAAATCTCATTAAAATTTTAAAACAATTTTTAGATTAATACAATGGAACCTCATATAACGAGTATTTAGCATAATGAGCAAAACAAATAGTAAAAAAATGACTCACTTCACAAGTGATGTTTCGCATAACAAGTAACAAGGAGAGGGAATTGAATAGTCCACGATTGTGCGCATGCTCCCTCAGTCTGTGTTAATTAATTTGTTTCTGTCAAATTAATTAATTTCTAATATTTAATTATAGCCTTTACATAGCCCAAGAATTTGGCATATTGTTTAGTGTGTTTATCGGACATTATTATCTGTTTTTTTTTTTTTTTTTTTCTTTCCTTCCCCCTTTTTCTTTCTGCAAGTGAAATTCTCAAATTCACATTCCAGGTTGGTTCATTCCATGCTAGAAGAAAAGATGAAGATGATTCATGCTCCTTACAATGTATATTGTATAATTTTCTTTGAATAAACATTATACATAAAATATTTGAGTATTTCTTTCAGCATGGAATGCATTGTTGTATTTTACATTAAGAAAAAACAGTTTTTTCCATATAAATTAATGAGTGTTTTGCATTACAAGTAAGATTCTGGAATGAATTATACTTGTTAAGTGAGGTTCCACTGTATTTGTTAACGTTATATAATAATATTTTTTACAATTAATATATAATTTAATTCATTAACATACAATATATATGAAGAATATATTGTTTTACCAATATTGTCCTCACATATCACAAACTTTATTGAGATTCTGATTTTAATATGTACAAAATAATGATTTATGAAAACAGTCTTAATGTTGAAAATATAAGCTTTCATATAATGACATCTGTTAATATTTAGAAAAAAAATAAACAGATGTCATTAGTTATGACTCAAAACAAAAATATCTATCATAGTTTGTCTTATTCATTCATCAGCATCTTATTTGAAGATGACTAATTTAAAATAATAGTATTTATTTATTTTAATCTGTCAACATCAGATAAGGTACTGATGAATNAATTCAATAAAATAATTAAATCTTTTTACAAAAAAGTACAAAATTTTGATTAGTTCTACATTAAGAAAATAAGGTAGAAGTTATCTAGGTAGCCCCCGTGGCTGCACTTCCGGAATCTCGACAAGATGCATGCTTTGAAAGTTAATCAAAGTGTTGCTGTATTCAGATTACAAGATATCTAACATCATTTGATAAATTAATTTTTAAACCATTGCAATTAAAAGTACAGTAGAATTTGGATAAGTGGATTAACATGTAAAGAATGAAATTACAGAGTAATGGTACAGTATTATATGTGTATTGTATTTATTTATTAATGTGTAAATAGTATACTACTTGTAACATACTTCATGACCAAAACTAAGTCCAAAAATAAAGTGATATTACACAAAATTAGGGTTCTATCAAGTATATGGCTTGGTCTTAACGGAAAAACAAAATGCGATTGAAAAATGACACTTAGGTAAGCAAAAATCCACAATAATATTTATTAAGTATATAATAAGAACAGTAATGTGTATATAAACAACAATGATTTAAACAAGAAGTTAGTAATAAATATATATTTCAATTCTTCAAAACAGGTCAAGATCAATTGTGTATAAACAAAAAAAAAGGAACAATCAATAAAAGAAATTCATTTTCCCTAGTTCAGGATGTACAATTAATTAAATCTCTATCTATATCAAATAAATTCAAAAGCAAAGAATACCTCTTTAACTGAAGCAATTAACTCGTAAGAGGTATATAACCTCTTATGAGTTAATTGCTTCATCAAAAGAATGCCAGAAAATTTGGTTTGAAAGAAGTTTGCTTTCAGCAGCTACACCACACTGTTGAATGGGTGTGTCATCTTTTTATCTGCTTAAAAGTGTAATTCTGCACTATCCTATTTACATATTGAAGCGTTACAGAATCAGTTACTTATGGAAATGAACATTCATTTGCTTTAATTTTCCATCCCTAAAACATAAAACATCCCCTACAAAAAATAACAACTAAAAATAATGCCCAAAACAAAATAATGATCAGACTTTGACTCCTTACACCCTGATCATTTGGATCTGTCACAGCAACTATGTATCACTGATCGTGCATAGTTTCACTGTGCACGATCACAGTGCACATGATGCACTGTGCATCATGTGATGTAAGTGCACATCACATGATGTAAGAAAATTGCAGTGTGACATCAGTGGACGAAAGAAATAAAGGCAAGTGATGATTTGGATAATTGGACATTTGGTTAATTGGCATTTAGATAATCAGTTCTACTGTAAATAATAAAATAATATCTCTCAACTTTTATTATGTTAATTATAATAATAATTGATATTTTCAGATGTTAATAATAATAATAATAATCATCAAATATTTAATTTTATCCGATACAGTATTAGTATTTTTCTTAAAATTCTTGGCATCACAAGAAGCATTTTCAAGCCTTTTATACTCTATATAAAAATATGCTACACTATTTGGGCTACGATTTGAAAACATTGTAGACCTATAAATTCCTATTGCCATCCATCTATCTGTCCTTCCTTAATTTTGAGAATGGAGTTAGATGAAAGATGAGACCAGATATGGAAAGCTTCGGAGCAGGAAGCCCCAATTAACTATATACAAACTTATAGTTTGCACTGGAAGTTGTGTTGTTATTTTAATTCAAAAATATTCCTCTGAATGTAGTTAGCAATAGTCATGCCAGTTACCTAACAGGAAAAGTATGATATACAGGGTCAAGACACTATTAAAATGTTAAGAACATTGTGAAGAAAAATTGTAGCCTAGCATTGTGATGATGTCATGATAAATAATTGCTTATTTTCATTTAAGAAAATGACATTGTTTTTACAAAATTCTTAAATCAAAAACTCTTTTAAATTGGATTTTAAAAAATGAATTTTAGAAACAATAAATTTGATAGCATTTTAATAGCTAATATTTATTTCATTCATTTTGTTAGAGTATGTATTATTTAGAATTTCATATTTATATCAATTAATAATTTTGAAAAAACAAAAAAATACAACAGAAACAAATTGTTAAATGTAATGTTTTTGAATAAAATTGAAATTACATTTGTAAATACAGTACCTCGGTTTTCGTTGACTTCGGTTATCGTCAGTTTCAGTTTTAGTTGATTTTTTTCCATGAAAAATTTGTCTCGGATTTCGTCAGCATGCCCACGGGATTTCTCTGTTAAATTTTGCGAAAACAAAGGATGACCCATGTGTTTTCTGCTCAGTGTGGCATTGTTTCTCATTGTGTGAGCATTACCCCACACATCTAGCCAAACTATTCCATTGCATTTATTTCCTTTTAGCTCCATCATGTTTATTTATTCTTTACATTAGTCTTTTATATTAATTTTTTAAAATTGTTTTTAATATTAAACTCTATATTTATTCTCTATAAAATGTGTTTTTGGTATGTATTTTGGAATGTCTAGAACAAATTAATTGGATTTACATTGATTTGTATGTAAATTACCTTCGGTTTTGTTGGTTTCGGATTTCGGCAATTTTTTTTTTTGGATGGATTATCGACAAAAACTGAGATATCACTGTAGAAAGAAGAGGGGAAAAGCTTATCACCAAAATGCTCAGCAATTTTTTTTACATAAATAATTTAGTTGAAAACTATATAAAAACATGCTAATAAATTAAAATTACTACTACTTTTAATGTTGAGAACATTCAAAATAAATCTAACAAAATATACTCTGAAACAAAGCACTAATACTTCTGTTGTTATTATCTGGTATTTCTGTAAATAAATAACAGATCAATTTTATATAGACTTGTTTAAAATAACTAATTACTCTATAAAAAAATTTTATGATAATGCAGAAAATATTGTAAATTCATGCACAGTTGTTTTTATTGAACATGCATATGTGTGTATGCAAATATAGTCATTATGACAAGTTGTGATACTTTTTAATGTTCCTTGTTGTGAAACCTTAAATCCTTTTTGTTTTAAAATATATTGTGTGTTTTCAAATGTTGTTGATGTTTGGCACGTTATCATTCATTTGATCTGCATGAATTTGATTCTTGTGTTTGGATTCATACTGCACTAATCCAGATAGTGTGCTTTTGCTATGTGGCACATGGGCATCCTTCTCACAAGAGACTAACTCTGCCAGGTCTCTGATAACAGTTGAAAGAAACTCTGTTGGGACATACCATTTTTCAAATTTTGAAACAACAAAGATTTATGGATTCACAACATGTGCAAATTAGGGTTTCTCATTTCCCGGTCTTTTGCTTGTCCCAGGATTCTGAGAAAAAAGTGAACTGTTTCCTGGGATCCTGGGATATAATTATTTTTAAGATATAAAATAAATCTTTAAAATCGAATGATATAATTATTTTTCATTTTTAAGTAACTTAATACAACCTGTAACCTCCCAAAATAATAATAATAATGCTGTGTAAAATATGTTTAAAAAATTACATTTGAATTATATAGAAATTTTCACAAATAGAAAAAGTTCAATAAAGTTTGTTGGAAACTGCTTACAACAAAAATGCCTTTTGAATTGAGTTGAAAATTTAAAGAAAAAATGAAATTAGATCAAACTTCTAACTTAAAATGTAATTTTCACTATTTAAATAAAACATTATAAAATATACAATAATATTTTGTATTAAGATTTTAAAAAGCAAAGATGATCAATACTCCAATTATTCAATCTGAACTTATTTTAGTAATGTGAAAAGTCCTGCTACCAAGAATGTCCTTTTCGATTCAATTCGTGTGGGTGGAATCGTCCTTAATGCATTTAAGAGAAGTTGGATGTTGTGTTTTTTTTCATCTGTAGCCTGGAAGATTTCTAGTTCGTTTTCAAGATGTGTTAGTATTTCTTTTACCATCTAGTATTCGTCCTTTATCTACCTTGGCTGCCT